AACATCTTTCTAATCCCTAATTTATACTATCAAATTTAACACAATCCTCAAACTTTTTCTCTTGTCAACATTTGCTTACAGTATTTCACTACTCAACCCTTATTTCTTTAAAAAAAAATAAAAAAAACAAAAGAAAAGTTTACATCACAGTCACAGTGGCATCTTAAGACGAAAGTCTATGCTTTCCATTTCACTATAAAACTCCATACAAGATTACATGCTCGTTTGGAGCGATTTCCCATAAGGCCAACATTTCTAAACAGATATTGCGAAGGTTTTTATTCGCATTGTTTAAATATATGACCATGGAGATAATACAAAGTAGCGATTGCATCCTTCCCCCGCATATGCAATGGCGGAATACTTAAAACTCATACACTCCATTTGATAGGTACCCAATGATAATCAAAACAGAGTGAAGAAAAAGGGACATCCAAAGTGCCACATGAACATTAACATCACCTCAACCACCCCGATGCGTATGCATTGGAAGCACCAAATGTCTCTACTTGGCCTGATTCGTGTCCTCCAAACAATGGATTTATGTTTGTATTCCACAATTAAGCCATCAAACATTAGTTCTTGTTTGTCAAGACGGGAAACAGCTAAAGGTGCAGAGATTTCCGGAACAAAAGCTTTGTAACTGCAGGTTGCCACATCGAAAGAATAAACCCTTCATCAATAACCAACAACTTCAAATTAATATCCTGAAGTATCATCTTCAGGAGAATAGTCTCTTGATGCCTGCTCTTCCTCGTCATCTTCATCCTCATCATAATCACCTGAAGCAGGTTGCCCATTAAGATCCACATTTACACCATTTATCTTCCTAACAAATTGTCCCCGCACACGGGGCCTCCGTTCAGCAAGCCGTTTTCTATTAACATACCTAATTTTCTTATCAAAACACCGCTCCTTCCTTTTCTGTCTAAACTTCATCAATGCAGCTTCTCTTCTGTCACCTTTATTCAACTTCACTTCAGAGGAAGATGGACTCCCAAATGACGCCCATGAGTTAGCAGACATCTGACCAGGTTGTAAGCACATACCAACTGAGTAATAGGGGAAAGGTGCCATGCCATTTACATGAGGGAGACACTGTGGTAGGTGACTGTACTGAGGAAGCATTGCTGAAGTAGCATGATTTTGAAGGTCATGAAGATTCTTTCGAAACAGATGTGCTGATGATGGCATCATAACTTGATGCATTGCGCCTGACATATAATAAGGATATGTGGTTTGTGCAGGTAAACCCGATAGTTCGTGCTGAGGTTCATTTCTAGGAGGTGCATGTGCCTGAGCAAACTTTTCGTTTATGAAATGCCTTTTTTGTGGAAAATCCATAGACACTGTAGGGGTAGAGGACCTGTCCAAGGAAAGAGAATCTGGGACACTACTACTGCTAGGAAACTCATCTCCTTGAGAACAGTTTTCCCATGCCTCTCCATTTTCATGTATTTGTGTATCAATAATCACCTGTTGACCGCATGGTTGACATTTCTCTTCCATCCTCACATTTTGAGTAGAATTATCATCAACATTGATAATCCCCGGGGCATTGCTTTTAGGCATGCTTGATTTAACATAGGTGAAGAAGGCTGATGACTCACCAATCTTTAGTTCACTTTTCTTTGGACCAGCTGAAAATTGACCTGGAAAATATCGTCAATTTAAGATAAGAGTATCCAAAATTAAGAATTTGTCCAAATTTTATGGGAACCACACAGTATTTCAGGTCAATGGCATGTCCAACCATGATACAAGTAAAGCAGCAATTGAAAGGTAAGAAGTGCTCACCCGTCCGGCGGTCACAAATTCCAGGCACATCAGGCCGACATTCTGGTTCATCAGATAGAGGAGGCACAAAAGCAGCAGCAGCAGTGTTGCTAGTGTTTGCAATGGTGGCCACAGCTGCAGCGGCGGCAGCTGCAACAACGGCAACAGCAATAGACTGAAACAGAAAAGCATATAAATGGACACACGAAATCAGTAATTTAATATGTGCATTATTAATCTAATGCATCATCAAGTTACAAAACTTCAACACTCACTTCGGTCTCCTGATGAGTTGACATTCCTGTCTCTGGATTGGTGCTTCTCCGAGACCTGTCATCTGTATCATCTGAGAACATAGTAGTACTATTTGTATTAGCATCACTCGGGTCTGATGCCACCAGATCAAACTCATAGTTCAAAATGTTATTTTCTGCCAAGCCAAGCTGCCAAACATAAAAAGATTGAATGATTCTACGAATATTGATTTTTTTTCATTTTTTTAAGTAAGAAACAAGGTAAATTGCATTATTGGGTGTAACGAGATTTATAGAACAGTAAACCAGATGGCTATTAAAATAAAGGACAAATTGTCCACCAAGATCAGGGGTTACAAAAAAAAGTTTCAGACTCTGAAATCAAAGAAAGCTCAAAAAATTCCAAAAACACCAGAATTAACCAGAATCCTATGATGTTGTTTGGTTATATAAAAGCTAAACTTTGAACAATACTTGTGTGCAAATGGATATGTAACACAAATGTATGAAGGCGGCTACTTAGAATCAGTTGGAATATGAATACATGACTCTGCTTCTTATTAGCTGAATAAAAGAGTACAATTTTTCTGCACGCTTCTGTTTTCTGAGGCAATACACCATAAAGAGAGAGAACTCTGAATAAGTAATTTTTACAGGCTGCAAAAATATCTTTTTCAGTATTAATCTCTTGGGAAACACATACTTGATGAATCTAAATTCCTTGCATTCATAAATACGTTATGTGCATATCCTTAACAACTGCTGATATGCACTAATTAGAATGAAAATATTCATAAGAAAAAATGCAGAAACAAAATGAAAAAAAGGACAGAGGCAACAAAATAGCAAATTCCATGCAAAACCAACCATCCGCCTCCTTCTCCACATATGTGTCCACAAGTTCAATAATTCATTAGTTCGTAGAGGCTTCACAAGATAGTCGGCTGCACCTAACCTCAAGCACTTGACAACAACAGAGACTTCATCCTGTGCCGACATCACTTATTAAGCCAAAAAAGAAACGGATATTAAGGGTTGAACTTAATTCATAATTGTGGAAATTGAAGGCGAAAAGGTAGTAAAAAAGCTCACTGATAACAGGTATGCGTCGTAGCTCTTTATCCCGCATGATGTACTTCAACATCTTCATGCCTTTAGTCATGGGGAGATCAACTTCAGCAAGTATGATATCAATATCAGATCCCTCAGCATTCAATGCATCAATCACCTGTCTAGCTGACCTCACTGCAGTCACTGTGAAGAAAAACATAATATCAGATCACCATGACAAAGCCCAGGTCTAGGAAACTAAATACATCAATGAGTAATAGAACCACGAAGCACTCCCAAGATAGATGGAACATTACTAAGTACGATAGAATTTAAAGGTGAAGAAAGTCATTTCAAAAAGAAAGAAATAGCACCAACTGGCAACATGACTAGTAAGTTAAAAATTATCTTAATCATTTATATGAAACATTGGATAGCTTAAGGACAGGATTAATAAATATGTGGAAGACTAATTGCAAAATAAGTCACCTAAAAAGCATTGCCAATTCTTCAACCATATTTGCTTCACTTGAAAAAGACAATCATCAATATAAATGTAAGTTGTTTCAACCAATTCAACCCAGCGTCAATAGAACAGCAAGTAACCATTAGCTAAGCCTAAGAATTAGTTCAAGAGGTGAGACAAGTAGACAAAGAAACTTAACGGACGAAAACTAATACAATTATTTGGCTTAGTTGAGCTGAATTCTACACTCTTAAGAGCCAAAAAAAACCGAAAATAGTTGGAAAGTTCATTTCTTTTTCCCAGTTTTTTCTAGCAAACAAGGATGTACAACAAATTAAAATATATGCTTCCTTACATGTTTAACATCTATTAAACCTCCCAACTGAAAATTACACAATAAATCGTACAATAAAAAAAATAAGCAGCTAGTATGCAAACATCAATGTCGTCAAATTCAATAATCTACAATACAGAAAACAAATTAGCTTACACATGTAATCCACTACAAACTCAAATTGAATTCAACAAAAAAAAAAAAAAAAACCTACATACATATACCATACCGACAAAAATAAAGAACAAAATCAAATATACCCTGATAAGAACACTTCACGAGAAGCGAAAAAACCTCCTCCGAACTATTGGCATCGTTATCACATAGCAAAATCCTCACTTTGCTTCTATCAACAAACCCATCTCCACCCCCCTTACTATTTCCAACACCAGCACCACACTCCTTATTTAAATTCAGCTCCTTACTCTCCATATCTTCAACACAAACATTAAAAACAAATAAATAAATAAATAACCACATCAAAAATAAAAAATCAATCTTTATTTCACCATAACAAACAATAAAAATAAAAATCATAAACAATTCAATTTACCCAGAAAATTTATGATCAAAATCAGCTCAGATGCACGTCAAAAACCACGCTACTAAAGAACTTCCATTGAAAATATCTCAGCAACCTCAGCACATACCAAACCCACCTTCAAGCTTTCAAATTTCAGGGCTTGGATCAAACATTCCATGGACTAATTAGATCAAACACCTTCCGTACACTCACCCAAAAAATCAATTATTTAATTTTTTTTATTTCCAATTTTAGACAAAAACCTGAACAACATCAACAACAAAGACAGGCATCATAATAATAATTAAACCAAACCCATGTTTCTATTTTAGTTGTGTATAGTTGGTTCACTTGACCAAGCCCAAGTTGGTTCACTTGCTATAAACGGCAAGTGAAGCCAACCCAACTACCGTTTAAGCAAGTAACTTCCAGACAACAGAAACAGCTCAACGGCTGTGATCAATCAAACAGCACCAAGTGGGTTTGATTAAGTCAATCAACAGTCAGATTTGCCTCACCGTTCTGGTGAAAACAAAAACCCGAACTGAAACTGCAGTAGGAGGGAGAGAGAGATGGAAAGAGGCAGATAATTCTGAGCTTTTTTAAGCAAATCAGATAGATTGAGCAAGTGGGTTTTCGGTTTGGTTTGAGCAAAATGGGGAACGGATGGCTGAGATTGATTGATGGAAGAAAGGGTGCGTAGTGGTAGCGTCGGCACAGGTTAGCAGAAAGGATGACGTGGCGGGTAGGGAAAGGGAGACAAGGGAAAAAGTGCGTAGAAAAAAGTGGAGGGCGTGTTTGGATAGTTTGGTAGAGATGGAAAGGAAGCCACGTCATTGGCTGAGATCTTTATGTGTTTAAACTTTCTATAAATATTCAGAGAAAATAAAAATAAAAATAAAATTAATTGGATTTAGATATGAAAAAGATTTGAAATGGAGACGTGGAAGTGCTAGCTGGAAAGTGCTGGCCCGATAATCTTGCAAAGGACGGCTAATCAGAGTTGCACATGTGTGCAAAAGTGACCCTCGGTACTTTACGAATCCATTAATTACATGGAAAATTATTGTTAAATTGACCTAATTATAGCCACCCTTATAACTTACAACTTATTTTCGTCACATTTTTTAATTGAAAAATTATATTATATTTTATGATATATCAATTACTCATTTTTAAATCAAATGAAGCAATTCTATTATAGCTTGATGTAAAATCCAACATCAACAATTTTAATGTAAAATAAAAAATATATTATATTGTTGTGATATTTATACAAGTTTGTTTTGGTTTCAATCTTTCAACACTAAATAAAAGATGGCATTGCCATTTGAGAACAACTTCACTTCCTAATTAATTTAAAATTGTTCATTATTGACTCCTACAAGAGAAAGAACCTGACCACCTTCTTTCTTAAACAAAGTATCAAGTCTAGACCATTGAATTAAAGGTTTATTACAGTTGTACCACTCAAAATTAAACTAATGCAAGGATTAGAAGGTTAATTTTATATTTAATTGTTGATTGCTTTTGTGTATAATAATAATAATATTGGTTATAGGACAAAATATCTTTGGATTTAATATTAGCTTGCCCATTAAACGCATTAGAATTTTGGTTTATTGTGATAATTCATTATATATACCTCTTGATTGTATCAAAGAGCCCTCCTTTGTAGCTTCCCATGGTGATGACTCTTGATGGTGGTGTTGCTGATGATTTGGTCAAGCGGTGGTATTTTGGAAATGCAAATTTTTCATTTTATTTATGACAATTTTATCCTTATTTGCTTCATTTCACTGGACAAATTCTAAACAAGACAAGAGAATGGTTGCTTGAAAGAGTATTGTGGACCTGCGCCAAGTTCATGTCAATTGGAACCCACTAGTGTTGTGAAGCCCAAAGTATAAGCAACTAAAGAAGACCTTAAAGTTGGTAATTCAGTGAGGAATGAACAGAGCCCAAAACAGAGAGAAGAGAAATCAAATCCCAATAACATAAAGAAAAATTTCAACTATTCTTCTCATCAGAATTCATATCTACGCCAAGGATGATGGGCCTTCCACATCATAAAGAAGACAACAAATGAATTGGCAAAAATGGATCTCCCAGAAGACCCTAGAGTTACAGATTTAATGTATCAAATGGTAGTCTTAAAAGTCTTGGAAATTTTCTCAACAATAATATTACACTTATAAACTTAAAATGTTTATCCATTCAACATAGAGTAAACGACCTTTTCTCCACACTTTCCACCTAAAATATTTCAAAATACTACTTTTTCACCTAAAGTTTATATTCCAACTAGAGGTGGAACAAATGGACATGGTTAAACGGGTCAACCTTAACCCGGCCCGCATCAACCCAGCCCGCGTATACCCCGTCGGGCAGACTGGGCCTTCATAGGCCTTCACCGGTTGACCCGCGGGTTGGACAAAAAAAATTAAATTAAATTACTTTTTTGCAAAAAACTCATTTTACCCTTAAAATATAACCGTTTTATAATTGTTGGATAAGTCTTTTTGATCATTTTCTTTTCCTATTTTTTTATATAAATAGGGTCTAAACTCTCATATTTCCTCATATCCCAAATTCTCTCATTTTCTCTATTGAAATCTCTCAATCTCTTTGTTGTCAATTTGCTCTCATTTTATATTTTATTAGTTTTTGCAATTTTCAATTCATATTTCCAAATTTCAATTCTCCTTCTTTAATTCTTTATTTCTTCTATATATATATATATTTTAACTATAATGGATAGATATTTCCATCCCATCAATTTCGATGATGAAGAAAATTATCATAGTCCTCCTGAATTTACTAACGTAAATGCAGTAGATTCAAATGGTCTTGCTTTCCATATATATATATATATATTTTAACTATAATGGATAGATATTTCCATCCCATCAATTTCGATGATGAAGAAAATTATCCTAGTCCTCCTGAATTTACTAACGTAAATGCAGTAGATTCAAATGGTCCTGCTTTCCCATTCTCAGAATCCAATATACCTCATAATATTCTCCCCCTTCCTCCCCATGCTGCTATAGCTCCCGGTGGTTCTAGAAGCCGTCCTCGTCCAACTCCATCTCAAGCAGAAGCGGGTTCATCAACTATAATCGGAACTGACGACAAGCACACATCAAACGTTTAGGTGCATTTCGATAAGTTTTACGAGACAGAAAATGGAGTTCAAGTGAAGAAAGCAAGATACAAGTATTGTGAAAATATTTATAAAGCTGATGCAGGTAATGATACTAGTACTTTAAAAAGGCATGCTAGTAAACATATGAATCAACATGGAAATAGAGAAACCAATCAAACTCAAATAACTAATATGGGTACTACTTGGCATTATAATTCTAATGTATATAGGGAACAATTGGTTTTATATATTGTTGTAACTAATCAACCTATTAATATAGCTGAAGATAAATATTTTAAAAGATTTATTAAAAATTCATTTTTCCAGGATTTAAAAGTTATTCTAAAAGTGCAATTAAAAGTGATTTAATAAAATTGTTTGAGAAAATGAAATTAGAATTAAAAAATAAAATACATAGTTGTCATGTTAGTGTGGCTCTAACCGTCGAGATTTGGAGTGGTAGAGCTAAACAAGATTATATTTGTGTGACTAGTCATTATTTTGATAACAAATGTAAATTAAATAAATCTTTATTGGGATTTAAATTAATGGATGTGGATCATAGTAGTCAACAAATTTATAATAAAATTGTTGAAGTTTTAGAATATTATGATATTGTTTACAAATAGATAAGTTTAACTTTAGATAATACAAGTGCTAATAGTATAGCTATAAATTTTTTTAATTTTCCTTTTTATGACAATTTGAAGTTTTTTTACCAACGTTGTATACGCCACATTATTAATTTAATTGTGAAAAGTGGTATGAAAAAAATTAGAAATAATATTGATAGAATTAGAGATTCTTTAGCTTGAATTACTAGTAGTAATAGAAGAAATGCTGAATTTTAAGATGCTTGTATAAAATCAAATATGTCTCCTAGAATTTTTGCATTAGACATACCTGTTAGATGGAATAATACTTATTTAATGCTTGATTTCTGTTTACCTTATGCAAATTTAATTAGTTATTTTGTAGCAAATAATAGGGGTCCTCATTATTTGGTAAACAATGATTAGCATATAGCTAAAAAAATTCATTCTTTTCTTAAAAATTTTTATCAATCCTCTTTACAACTTTCTGGTGTGTATTATTCTATTAGTCAATTGGTAATACATAAAATTATAAAAATTTCAGATTTATTTAAAAAAAAAAAAAAAAAACAAGAACAATAAAATCTTAGCAGGACCAATATAGGCAATGGAATTAAAATTTAAAAAATATTAGAAACTCATTCATTTTCTTTATTGTTTAGCTGCCATATTTGATCTTAGAATTAAATTAGTGCGTTTAGAAAAGGGTTTACACACGTTAATTGAAAATTTACAAGACGACGCATATGTCAATCAACTAGGAGAGATAAGAGAGTGTCTTGCAGAGGTATATTTACAATATGAAAACAGGTATGGAAACCAGCGAAGAGGCAAAACACTCGAGGAAGTAGCATCAGAAAAAACAAATGAAGACTTTGATTCCTAGAGTGCACTTAATAGGCCAAAGAGGACCCGAACCCGAAGCATAGCCTCCTCTTTTGAAGCATCAACAACGAATATATTGTCCTCCATGCAGCTACAGAGTAATGAGCTTCACCAATATTTGGGAACCCCCGATGTGCTACCAGTAGATCCACAACAAAGAGCTAACTTTGATGTCTTAGAATATTGGAAAACTAGAAAATGTATTTTCCGGTATTATCAAGACTTGCCTTGGATGTTTTCTTTGTTTCTATCTCAACCATCTCATCCGAACAAACATTTAGTGCAAGTAGAAGAATTTTAAATGACAGAAGGACTAAACTTTCACCAAAATTGATTGAAGTCATCACATGTCTTCGAGATTAGGAACAGTCGCGCCATCAGGATCAATATGAGATTGTCGATGATACTTTAATAGAATCATTTCAATTTTGTAATTTAGATGATACTGATGAAGGAGGTCCTAGTTAACCCTCAGATTAGTTGTTTTATAAATTGTAAATTAACTGTCAATTATTGCACTCTTCTTTCCTTACCAAGTTTTTGTCTCGTCCATCTTACATAGACGGCCGTCCATATGCTATGGACAACCATTCATCATGAATGGATGATCGTCCACGACAATATCAATGAACTCCCGTCCATATAATATTGATGGGTGTCCATTTACTATAGGCGGATATCCATTTACTATAAGTGGGAGTCCATATAAGATGGGTACTCGTCCAGAAAAGTTTAAAAACAAATAATGGATGGGCGTCCATATACAATGGACGATCATCCGTGTAAGATGGATGGTCATCCATAAAATATGGACGGGTGTCCATTTACTATGGATGGGCGTCCATATAAGATGGACGGCCGTCCATACCCAAATTCTAGTTTATTAAAAAAAATTCTTTAAAATTTTCAATTACAATGTTTAAAAATTTAGGGCTCCCAAAACAGGTTCTAAAAAACAAAAGCCTTCTGTCGCCGTTATTTGTCTTCTTCATCTCCATCTGCCGCCGTTCTTCGTTTTCTTCGTCTCCATCTGCTGCTGTTCTTCG